ACCTAGCAGGAAGGGACTGTGTCTCAGTCATTTTAGGAAAGAGTAACTGTGGTTTGAGGGGTGATCAGGTAGCAGACAGGACTCAGAGCCTGGCCTGAGCCACATCCCATGGGACTTGCAGTACCCATGCCACTCTGAAAAGGCTTGCTTAGAAAGGGGACCGGCAAGAGGTACAGCTGGAGAGAAGGAAGAACATCTTACCTTTTTTTTGGTGTTTGGGCTTGAACCTAGGGTCTAGTACCTGCCAGGCAAAGCTCTACCACTGAGCTACACTGCAGCTGAGGGCCACCTTGGAAGGTGCTCCAGAACAGCAGCTGGATACTCCAGAATAGCTAGTAGGGAGGACCTTAATGCACCCAACGTAAAGAAAGGCAGAGTATCTGAAGTGACAGATGTGCCTATTACCCTGATCCGAACACTTCACTCTGTATGTGTGTATTGAAATCTCGTACTATATGCTACACATCTAATTAATATGTAGGCATTAAAAATATATCACAAAAATTAAAACAAATAATACCAATGCCAAGGAGACTACCGGGTGCAGATCTTTAGTCTGGACCTGAAGCTGTCACACTGAAGACAATTTCAATTATTATGTGCAAGACAGAAAAAGAAGAATCGAGGAAGAGGGCGCTGGCTCTCAGTCATGCCGGCTCAGGCTCACCATGTTCTCGTCCGCAGCTGCCTTGCACTCTCTCCTGAGTATGGAAAGCTGGATTCTCTCATAGTCAGTTTCAAAAATGAAGATCAACAATGAAAAGAACCCACCCCAGCTGCCGTGGCCACCCGCGATGACCACAGTGAATGGTGTCTGCGTGCTCTTCCTCCAAGGGCTGTGTTAGGATGTGAAACATGACTGACTCAGCTCCTGGCCCCGCTACCGTCGCCTACCCCTCGTCCAGAGCCGGTAAGATCCAGCTCTGCCTGGCTGCAAGCACGCAGTAACAGGCCCCACTTCCTCCCCTCAGTGCCCTGGTGTGCTGTCATGAATCCTGAGTGTTGCGGCTGCCTTAATGTCTGGTCACTCAGGTGCGATGACGTTAATATCGGGCCATCGACGCATGAGCTGTCAGACTGACAACGACCAAGGAGAGGAGACAGGAAGAGCACCCTGCAGAAGCAACAGATCTGGCTTGAGTGGGATCTTGCAATTTGCAGAAATATTACCGTTTTCATCAAAGGTCAATGGGAGGGACTGGTAGAAAAATCAATAGATTTGAGAGAGTTAAGAGGCTCAATACATAAATTCATGATATGGTCTCTGTATTGAAGGAACGTGGTGAAAATCTGTATAATACTATCTCTTGGGAAGAAAATCGGTTGTCATAAATTGGACCATTCATGTAGGTTCAGAAGTTCTTACTGTGAATAGATTTTTAAAGAATTATCTCAGTGCAAAAGAGCTAAGAAAGGGCAAGGAGAGATTTAAAAACGGCACCAAGCTGTTAGGCATACTAACCTGTCTCACTGGCTTCCTAGCGTGGGGTACTGATGTTTTCTAAGGGAGGGTGCTCTGAGACATGTTCCACCTGTCCCCAGTGATGTCTGGATTGTCACCTACCTGCAGCACTGGACCCTGAGGCCTTTAGTTACACGATGTTTGTGGCATCCCTTAGCAAAGTGATTCTAGCCTCCTGATCTTAGCAACATGGTCCGATGCACTACTGTCATACATACAGTCCTGACTGAATGTCAGATGACAAATATCCCTTCATTTCTTCCTGCCTCCTGCACCACCAGCAGGGATGAAGCGCTGCTGATGTGAGAGTCCAACCGCAGCCCACCCCGCACTGGGGAAAGGCCACGCGGTCTGGTGAATGGGCACCAGGCACGCCCTTCTCCGTGAGGGGCAGAGACACTCTCTGGCCACTGATGCTGTCTGCCCCGCCACGGTGCTCTGCAGTGTGTGAGCTTGGTAACACCTCATACAGGGCACAGCTGAAGACGCCTTCTCTGTGAGTGCCATCCAGACTAATTCTGCAGAAAGGGCTCTAGTGATATTTTCCTTTAAAGTATAAGCTCCTTTGAGAGAGAGGCATGGAGAGAACAACTAAGAGAAGCCCGTGGAGGGGCCATGCGTTGATTCGGGGGCTCTCGATCTCTCCCTCTGCTGGGTGTCTAGTTGCATTAATCTGGAGGTCCCTGGTTTGTGAGAATGGGATTTAAGTTTATGTTCACACTGTCCAGGAAAACATGGGTTGTTAAGGTTACTGGAGAGATCAGAAGCTCAGGAGTATTTTGGATGTTTGACAATTGAATTGTCACATGAGTTTATTTAAGAAGGCTAATTCCAAATTATAAGCAAATATATTAAATCAGATATTACGATGTCTGCATTATAAGATGTCTAAAGCCGTCAGAAGGTACTTTACAGATCTAAGACACTGTCCCTCTAAAGGCAGAGGCAGCGTCTGAAGGTGCCCTGGGTTAGACCCCAGGGTCCTTGTTCCGTCCCTGGGCCAGGCTTGTGCTCTGTGAAGATCCCAGCAGCTCCCATGCAGGACCTGCCTTGCTCCTGTTCACAGACACTACACAGAAGACTGCACTAGAAAGTGGCCTTGGAAGGAGTCATTGCTGATCCCATGGCACAAAGGAGGAAAGGCATTGGGAGGTCAACCAGGTCATCTGGACCTGGGTACAGAGTGCCCGATGGTGACACAAGGCTCTGGGCATTGGTGTGGCAGTGGGAACTGGACAAGCCAAGACGACAGTGTCTCTACAACTGCCACATCTAGGGCTTTTCCACCCACTGCCTCCCTGTCTGACACTGTCATAGGGAATAGCCAAATGTAGCTATTTACATGGGTATTAAAATGTAAGATTCAGTTATCGTTTGCAGTAGCTGTAGCTCAGGGACAGTCATCCCTCATCCTTGGAGGTCGGTGCTAGGACCCCTGAGGATATGAAAGCCTGCAGATGCTCAAGCCTTCTACTCACAGTGCTGGTGCCTCCTAAGGTCAATGCACACCCTTCAGTACACTTTAAATCCACTCTGGGAGACTTATCACCCCTCATGCAATGTAAATGCTATGCAAATGGCTGCCGAACGGTACAATGGTGGGAGAAGGTGTCTGTACATGTTCACTATGGATGTATTCTCCCCCTGGCATGTTCTGTCTCCCCTGGCATGTTCTGTCTCCCCTGGCATGTGGAACTGCAGATGCAAAGGGCTGAGTGCACGCAGTACCCCCGTGTGACTGGTGGCTGCCATATTGGACCAAGCAGCTCTAGAACAACTCTGCCACTGCAGGAAGTCCTAATGGACAGTGCTGCTCCGTGTTTTGAAATCCTCTTTCTGGCCACCACAGCCTCTTCAGCCCTGACTCTTGTCAACCAAACTTGGCCTCCATCCATTAGTGCTTTCTGCTCCCACGGCATCCCAGGCCCCTCTGGTCTCCCAGCCCGGGTGTTCCTGGCATCCTCAGTTCCCTTGCCCTTGACTTCCTGTTGTGCACCCCTCCCTGCTAAGCCCTGACCTTTGGGGGGTCATAACTTTTTGATTTCCCTGCTCCTGTCTCTGGGATGTAAGGCTGCTACGAGGTGGATCTGGAAGGCCCTCAAAGGCCCATGAGTCCACGTTTCAGTCCTCAGGTTGGTGCTGCTGGGAGCGATGTAGGTCACTGGGGCTGTGCACCTGAAGGGGACACTAGGACGCCATCCTTCCTTTTCCTTTATCTTTTTGCTTCCCCACCATAAAGTCAACAGCTTCCTCTGCCAGCTACTCTTGCCACGATGTCCTGTGGGGCTACAGGTCCAAATTAATGAGGCCAACTGGCCATGGGCTGAAACTTCCAGAATGATCAGCAAACCCTTCCTCCTCAGAAGTGGAGCATCTTACATACTTAGTTATAGTAACAGAAAACTTACAAGCACAAATATGCTACTGGAAAGAACAGAATCAAATGGAAGAACATGGGGTCTTCTACCTTGATGGACAATATCAAGGTACTGTGTAACTGTCCTTCAGTTCATCTCATAGTGATTCCCTAAGCCCTGGGCTCTCTTGGGATCCTCCCTCTTCATAGGTGACCTAATTCATGGGCAGCAGGGGTGGCGACAGGGCAACCACTGACATAAGCTTCCTCAACATCGTCTCTTGTTTTCTTCCAGGCTCCTTCAGCCGGAAGCCCCACCTCTATGCCCAGTGGGGAGCAGCCTCCCCAGCTTCCTCATCTGCTATGTTTCAGGTCACGAGTGACTCCATTAACCTCTTATGCACTCTGAGAGTTTCCAGAAGCTCAGCACTTCTGGAAAGTGGTCGGATCCTGGGCACCTAGCTCCTCCCTTCCCTCTTCTTCTCTGCTTCCTGAACACCGCCATGACGTGAGCAGCCTTCCTGCGGGCTGTCCTTCCACCGTGCTGTTTTGGAGCTCACCCCATGGGCTCGTGAGTGAGCTTACTGAAACTGCAAGCCAAAATAAACCTCTCCGCCTGTAAATTGTGGGTGCTGGGAGTTTTGTCCAGAGATGAAGAACGTAACAGACGCCTCTTCTCGCGCCACCTTACCATGCAGAGGCCCTACATCCTATAACAAGGCTGCTTTGGGCCATCCCTGAAAGCAACCCTTTTCTCTTCCAAATTCTTCTACTAGTGTAGATATATTTCCTACAGAAATGACCAGGTTTGCGACTACTGGCTTCTATGCAGTTCACCTTGCATCTTCGCCCTAAATACCACTGTGAGAAGGGGCCGCTAGCTGGATCTGACGGGCACCCAGCAGCAATTATCCTTCTTTCTACAGAGTGACTCGGTACATATTTATTGAATGGATGCATCTATATCTGTATTTGCAAGCAGACTCATTCCCAGGGTAGAGAGACTGAATTCAATAATGAATAATGAACACATTCCTTCAAATGATCTCCGCATGAGATTCCAGCTAAATGGTTGCAGCAGAGAATTTCTGACGGGAAACTGAGGGCGTGAGTGGCCATGGCCAGAGCGGTGAGAGACTGCAAGCACAGTGTGCTCCTGTGGGAGGGCGGAGTGAGCACGACACGAGAGGCCGGCAAGAAAGCAACCCAAGAAAGACATCAAAGCTGAAATGAACTTACCTTGGGTAGCGATATAATGATTGGGTCGATGGTAGCCCTAAAAATAAATGAGAAAGAATATTTGATAAATTTAAAATCAATAAGTAGCACAGAGGTCACACGCCAAGTCTGCAGAAATGAATGCACACACAAACACCAAGAGTCGCATCACTTGAAAGCTCATTGCTGGGCCGGAGACCATTGAGTTTCTCTCACTAAGCCAAGGTCCATCCACTGCAGCTGCTCTGATGTGTGCCAGAGCTGTGAGTAACTATCGCCTGTCGGCTGTAAGACGCTGAATGAGCGATAAACGCTAACAACTTACGGACCTGCTGAATACCGTGACTGCCACTCTTATTAAAGTGCAAGTGGGCTGGGAGGGGAGATCGAATGTCACTCGTGATTTGGAGGCTACTGGCAGTGTGCCAGGGGCTCAACACATGTCCTGTTACCTCAGTACAGACAGCTACATCAATAGTACTACTCAGGGCCATTCTTAAACACGGCTGATACCACGATAGGACGCTGTAGCAGAGGCTAGGAATTTAGAGAGACAGAAATTCTGCAAACCGCTTCCTTTTACCATGACCTTATGAAAAACAGGAAAGATGAAATTTGGTCCTGAAGAGGAACAGGCAGCAAAGAAACTATGATAAATGTCTGGGAGCCATACCACCAAGTCAGGGAACGATGACCCCAGCAACTCACTATACCATCACAGCACTTAGAACTTCCCATTGTGTCCCCTAGCACTGTCTCAGATACCGTGCCCAAAGCTAGCTGGAAAATAGGAAAAAGAAACTGGGGAGGAAACACAGATCTCTCAGATACTTTAAATATGTATCTGTTAGGCTATTTTTGCTCTGAAAAACAAGACAAGTGCAATGAATCACAAAAGCAAACATTCTTGCACACAACTCAACTTTTGTAGGCTTTAAGTTATAGTACTGTGACCAATACTGCACAGGACTTCAGACAATTATGCGTTTCCTGTTACTTCGTACATCCCCCAAGGGCAAGAACTTTATCTTCCTTACCTGCTCTCTCTGTCCAGTACCTACGGAGGTGCCTCACAGATGGGAGGGACACACTTAAGGAGCTGAAGTAACTCAGCCATGAAAGAGCCACCAGAGCCACGTCTCAGTCCTCAGCTACCTGACCTACTCACCTGGAGTGCCACGGATCCCTCTAGATGCTTTCTTTGCTCGGTTCTGGGACCTGACTCCCCGCTGGTCCCTCCCTCCCTGGCCACCCAGCTCAGGCTCCCTGCCTGGTTCTTTCCCTGCTGCTTGTCGGTGACAGTGGCGTGTCTAGATCTTGGGTGTTTTTTCCACCTACACTTACTCCTGTGGTCCTCTGATCCAGTCCCATGGGTCCAATGTCATCCGGATCCTGGTGCGTCTTATAGTCTTACTGCCAGCTTAGCTCTTTTCCTTGAAATGTTAGCATGTGTCAGTCGCCAACACTTGCACTTGGATGTGGAATGCAGGCTTACAGCTGAACATGTCTAACCCTTAACTCATTTCCTTCCAGCTGCCCCCAAATCTGCTCCTCCGCACAGCTATCTTCTGAGAGAATCGTACTTCCATCTCTCCAGGGCAGCCTTGGCCCTCTCTTCCTTCCACTTTGTGGTCAGTCTGCCAGCAAACCCCTGTGGCATGGGCTTCACGCTAGCTGTGGACCCTACCATTTCTCCTCCTCCACTGTTTGAGTGTGGCCAAGCCTCCTCGGTATCCCTCAGGCCACTTCACTTCCATAGCCACCCAGCAGTCTCCCTGCTGACCAACTGCAGCCTCTGCTGGGCAGCCAGGTCTCTTTCCAACCCTCCGATGATGGGCTTGTTCCTTTTGCTGGCTGCTACCTCACTATGCCTTCCTTACCCCTTCTTCAGTCCACTCCACCCACCCTCACCCGCTTGCTCTCCTTCAGATCCACCTCTCGAGCTCCTCAGCCGGGCCTGTGCTCAGGCTGATGGTCCGCGATACCTGCACAGCTCCACCCCTCATCGCCTTCCCGGACTCCAGCTGCTTTGCGCTAGAATGCAGCTCACGCACACGCCTGGCGCATCAATGCCCTGGCACATTAACGTCCCACAACTTCAGCTTCCCCCGCAGCACGTACCACACATCATACGTGGTAGGAAACTGACATATTTACTTCCTGCCCATTTCTCTCAACTAGATCATCCGCTCCATTAGGTCAGGGGTTTTCATTTTTTAAATTTTATTTTAAATCTGCTTGGCTCACAGTTACAACTTCAGCACCCAGAATAGTAGCTGATGCATAACAGGTATGGCATGAGATCTTACCAACTCTGTGAATTACGAGCAGTGGGTATAAAGTGAACACGCCTCCACTGGGCATTTTCATTACTTTATAGTCTCACGTGTGCCATTTCCTGGGATGAAACGCTTCTGCCCTCTGTGCCTCTACACCACTACCGTGGAAAGCCTCATGCAAAGCGTCTCCTCCGCAGTGCCTACGCCCATCTCCCTCACTCCTTTAGAGGGCCTTTTCTCAAACACTGCCAGGTGCACGCCAGGGGCAGCGGCACAGAGATGAGAAGGGTCTTCTGCACTAGAGGACCCCTCAGGGATCACAGGGGGCAGGGTGGGGAGGGCGGCACAGTGCCCTGGCCTAGAGGGGACGGGGAAAGACACTGCAGGTCCTCTCAGGTCACACTGTGTCACTGTGGGCAGAAGGAGCTGGGTCTCAGGCATCTCTGGGAGCTGCCCTGAATGGAGGCAGGGGTAGTGCTGGGCAGGAGATATGCTCCTAGGGTGCCAGTGAAGACATTCTGCTTTGACACAAACAACTGTAAAATCAAACCGTAAGTGGGTGTGATACAACCCCTGTTAAAACGGTTTAGGGCCTTTGTGGACGAATAGGGTATCAACAGTCCTTTCAGTCATCATCCTGTGGCCCTCCCCACAAGTCTGTAAACTGTCAAGTTCTTACAGCTAGCACCAAAAGCTAACAGGCTTATGCTCATTTTCAGGTAACTCTTTCCTAGATATTATGATGCTAGTTACTTTTAGGCAATTAACGTGGTTATTATATCACATATTGCTATTTTCAAAGTAGTTGTGCAGTTTACCAGATACAAGCGTGTAGAACTGATCAAACAATATAAGCACCAACTGCTCCTTTCTGTGAACTAATAGAAATTAATAGTGCAATTGTCCTAGCTATCTTATGTCTGTCTATTTATATACCTACCTTTTTATTTTGTTTTACCTCGTTCTTTTTTTCTCCTTTTCCCCATCCTACTTGTTCTTTCCTTTTGAGCAGTTTCTTTCCCTTCAATACCAATTGTACCTTATTTATTATAAGCTACTGTCAGGCACCTATTGGATCTTATTTACTCTTTCAGTTTCTTACACCAGGGAGACAGTATGGTGTTTATACATGCGAGTCTGACCTACTTCCCTTGTGAGTATGGCCTCCAGTTACATCCATTTACCTATGCAAGCTTGAGCTTATCTTTCTTTAGCATCTGAGCCATATTCAATCAAGACAGCAGAGCAGTCCATATCCATGCTGCATACCGCTTGCTGAGATGCTCGAGACCAGGATTTGGGGTTCTAGATTTTGGAACAGATGCATACATGCGACAAGGCATCTTGGTGGCGGGACTCATGTCTAAACACAAAGTTCATTTTTGCTTCCTGTACAGCCTCTACACACAGCCTGGAGGTAATTTAATTTTGTGTATGACACAAAGCTCATGTAACAAGGTAGAAGTGACACGGTATGGAGGGGTCTTTTTCCCATGGGAACACTGAAAAAATTGGGTAGGTGTTCCCCTGGGTTCTGACAGTGACCTGTCATATGAGGTCAGATGTGGAATTTTCCACCTGTGCCATCATAGAGGTGCTCAAAAAGTCTCAGCTGCTGGAGCACTTGGCTTTGGGGATTAGGGATGCTTCACTCGTGTGTGTAAAAGCTACCCTGGCAGTGCCGGAGGCTTAAGAAACCATGTGTCTTGGGAACCACAGGGAGCTGAAATCCGTTTCATGTACTCAGGCCTTGCAGGGAGCCACAACTTTCCCTTGATTTTTTGGGCTACTTTTGATTTCATTCATTCTTTCAACTGAAAACATGCTGTCTCCTGAAGAATTTATCCTAATGTAAGACATTAAGTTAACATGATGCAGAATGAACAAAGAGGCCATCTTCAATAATTGAACAGCCTACATATTTAATGACACGCCTTGCTTGCGCTGGAAGTCCTGGCGAACAGCTGCAGATGACTTTGAAGGCAACTTAAAAGTGCACTGATGACAGGAGGTGGCGAGTCACTGCATCAGGAATTAGACAGTTTTGTCCTATTAATATGCAAACATATTTTTTAAGAGTGCCGAATAATTACAAATTGTTGACCAAAACAACAAAAAAATGAAATAACAATTTCCTAGTCTGTAAAAGCATGAAATGGCAAAGCACTACCAGGCAATACACAGGAAGAGGACCGTATTCGCATGCTTGTTCTCAGGCCGGGTCTGACACCTGCCCACCCAATCTGGTGGTGTGCATCAGAACGGCTGGGCCTATCAGCAGTTTCGGAGCACTTACATCGATGTAATTCCCGTTGATGTAGTCTGAGTTGGTGTCTCCTTCGATCGTCTGCAGCCTCACCCGGGAATGGTCATCTGTGAAGGAAAAGGAAAACGCCGCTGAGGAAGGCCACTGCTAGGCTGCGGAGCACACTGCTTGGAGGCCCCTGCACACCACTGCTCTCAGTGTTGCTCGGTGTGGGCTCTTCAGGCCCGCAAGGGCCGTGCGCTGGAGACTCGGTCCCTGCCAGAGCTCTGCGGGAGGTGGGGGTCCAGGAGAAGGAAGCGAGGTCCCTGGTGGTGCGGCCTTGAGGAAGGTCTGGGCCCCGGGCTCCCTCTCTGCCGCCTGGCTGTCGTGAGGTAGCAGCTTCCTCCATCATGCGCACAATGCGCAGCCTTGGCCAGGCCCAGGGCGCCAGGGTCTGGAGAATGCGGTCCAGAGTGGATCAAGCTGTGCGAGACTAAACAGCCTTCCCTTCTTTTAGCTTTATTTGTCTGATGTGACAGAAAGCTCACCAACACAAAGATAAAGCACTATGCCTCCCACTTCTGTACTGAAACATGGAAGGACTTATGATACTTTAGCTTTTACAGTAAATTCCATTAACCTGTTAATTCATTATTGACACTCACACAGCAAGGGAAAAGCCGGAGACTTTCACACCTAGTCCAGTGACTCACAGCAGCGTTACTTTTAGACTGAAGTCGGAACAATTCCACTGAGGCACACACTCCCCTGAGGTGTTGGAGGCTGCCTACAACATCCACGACATCAGACCACGGTCACGGCGTGTGGACATGGTCTGCATGGTCCTTGTGGCCGCGCCCAGCAGTTCTGTCTCCTCTCTACGCCCAAAGATGCCTGCAGGCGACAGCATGCTGCTATCCACTGCTTTGTGCCGCCAGCTGCGCAGTGGGCCTTGGCCTCCTGCTCTGGAGGACACAGAAAGCATGACAGGAAGGCTGCTTGACCTCAGCGACGAGATGAGGACATGCCTCGCTGTGTCTGACCCCAAGCAAGCTCTGGGCGAGGCCACCACCATGCTAACAGCCACACTTCCTTCCTGAGTGGAGCACTTTCCTCACTAGTACCACAGAGACAGCCCAGTGATGTCACAGAAACCTACACTTTATAAGGGAAAGGTGCTCACACGTCCACAGAGGCAGAGGGTCCCCCTCTTCATCACTAGACTAGGGCCTGGAACACAGTACATGCCCCCATCGCAAATGTTATAAATTATTAAAAGTGAACCTTTGGGTTTTAAAAAATTACATTACTTTAAAAATTATTTTTGATGCTAGACATATAATTCCATGATAGAGTACTTGCTCAGCATGCTTAAGGCCCTGTATTCCATTCCTAACACTGAAAGACAAAAACAAAACCCTAAATTCATGTTCTTTTCAATGGTAGAAGCATTATTTTAAGCACCCACAGGACCCCAACATTTAGAAGAGATTAGAGCCAGCTCTGGTGAAAGGAACCCTCTTCTCTTTCCGAGGAGTCGGCCTGCCCAGGCCGTGCCGCACTGTGGTAGTGCAGGGCCTGCTGGTGACCTGCCAGAGCTTCTTCCTCAGGCTAACGGTACCCAGCATTCCTTTCGGGTTAATGGGTGGGAAATGTGCAGGCGTAGAGCTGCAGGTGACAGGCCTTCTGTCCCTGAGCAGACCCACCCGTTGGCCGGACAGGCTGACAGGTGGAAGCCACTGTTTCCTCTCAGTTTGGGATGCTCACCCTCCTGTGGGATGTTTTGTTTGTTGTCAGTAGTGGAGGGAGAAGGAAATTGGTGTCAGTTTCTTAACTTGGCTGCACTTCACGTGGCAGACAGATTATTTCTGATCAGAGCCTCCCAGCAAGTAGGGCCTCAGTAACTCTCTATGGATTCTAGTTAAAAACCAGGCTGGAGAGCCCAGAGGAAGACCCTGGTGGGCGCTTTGTCCTTTCTGTTCCACTCAGGAGGACATGGCATGTGGCTCCATGTGCAGGCTCTAGGGCAGGTGGGTGGCGCAGAATCCCCACCCCATCCTGTGATCTCAGAAAGTTACCTTATCTCTTCTGTGCCTCAGTTTCCTTGTCTGTGAATGGGGATGGGAAGGGTGTGGTGGACCTGTGGGCTGTTCTGCCAGGCAGACCCTCCTGAGGCAGGCTCTGCCCTTTCCCAGGGCACTGAAGGTGGTGGGGACAGCACCCCCTCGCGGGCCTTGGGAGGCCAGCAGGCTGCAGCCTTCTCCTGTGCTTAATAGGCACATGTTGGAGCCAGGAGAACGCAGCCTATGAAACCCTCTCCTGTGCAGTGGCGAGGTAAGTGTGAGCAGCGAGAGCTGGCTTCTGCTGGGCACAGGTGTCCCCTGCGGTCTAGTGCCCAGACCCTATGGCCACCCAAGTCCACCTTCACATGTGCTCAAGTTCCTCCAGGGAATGGCTCAGTGCTAGCACTTAGCCTGCACATGCACCTGTGATGACCCCTGGAAGGCCTACACAGTCATCCCTAATAGTGGCATGTAAGTGCTGTGCATGCTGCGGCCATGCTGCAGACTGTGAGACAGACAGGAAAATGCAGTGTCTAGATGGCCGGCACAGGCGACGGCGGGATCCCTGGCCAGAGCCTGCAGCCACGGAGGCTGGCTCAGAGCAGTGAGACTGCCCAGTGTCCAGGAGGCGTCCGCTGCACAGAACGGAGGTCAGGGACGTTGCCCTGGAGAGCAGACTGGTGTCCCCGAGGGCGGCTCCTGGCATCACGGGTCAGTGCCTACCCAGTTTCTCCTCTGTCTTGGTACAGGCTGATGGGGGAATCCCTCTTCCTAGACAGGAATGTGACAGACCGGAGGGCAGCACCAGCACACACTGAGTCAGGGAAAGAGGCAAAACGGTTGTGCCAGCCACAGAGCCTGCAGATTCCAGGTGTCTTCCTGGACGTCCAGTGTGTGGGGTGGGGCGTAGGTCAGGGCAAAGCGCCTGCCTAGCATGGGTGGGCCCTGGGCTCTGTGCTCAGCACTGCAGAGGAAACAGTACCGGCTGCTGGGCAAGCACATTTGATGGACTCCATCATTACTTCTTTTTGCAGTCTCACTGGCCTTGAATCAGAGGCCGACTAAGGAGATGAGGATATATCAACCACTCTTGGGGGGTCTCTTGAGGCTAAGTTGTGTCAAATTTCCATGTGAAATGCCTGAAGGACACTTCTATCACATGGTGAATAGAGTCACTCAGGTGAGGGACCCTAAGATGTACCACATCCCCCAAGCCCTGTGCTGCAGCTCACTGGGAAGCCATAGATAGGCGGGTGTCTCGGGGACAGGAACAAGACTTTTGGGTCAGAAGGAAGTCTGGGAAACTCATTGGCACAGTTGTAACTTCTGGGAAATCCAATGGGATTTGTGGTGAAGCAGAAGTCAGTTACTAACCAGGAAGACCATGGGGTCAGGATGTTGAGGACTTGGGATTTGGGGTACACAGCTCAGTGAGCTGAGAAGATATGAGCTTTAGAGTTTGCAACTGGGTTTTGCTCCCAGCATGGGCATTTTTGCCTTGGATATCTCGAAGCCGTCCCAGGGTCTCATTTTGTAGCAGCTGGAAATGTTGGGAGCTCTGGCATCTCGGAGACCCTGACTGGACGCTGGCTCTTCCATTCCTGTGCGTGGGGATCTCACTCAACTCTGGATCTTTCGAGCTTCTTCTCTGTGAAGGGGGGAACTGCGCTACTTTCCTAGGACTGCCGGGAAGATCAAGTGAACACAGCACAGTTAGTTCCCCTCAAAAAGGTCGCCCCCTCCTGTGAATGAAAGCCATCTTTGTGGAAGTTTCACAGCAGGATCTTGAAAGCACAAAGAGCTGAGGTGCCAGCCTGGGGAAGCGGCGATGGAGGAGCAGAGTGCCTGATAGCGTCTTTGGGGGAAAAGAAGGGGAGGCTGATTTTAAAGGGGTGCAGGAAAAAGTCTGGATACAGACCGAAGATTGGGGCACTCCTGCCGCACTCCCCCCGCTCTCCCCGCCTCTACTCAGAGTCTTTCTGTGCTGTTTGACAATGCACAGCACCGAGCCCGGCACCGCTGGCCCTGGAGAGTCTCAGCTCTGGCTGTCCTGGTCGTGTGACTGAGCTGGTTGTTAACCAGTGCCACAGTTTCCCTGACTGTGAAGGGGACTAGGAGCAGAGCCCACCTCTTCTACTTCGTGTGGGGATGCAGGGTGCTAATGTGAGTACTGCCCTGAGATGTTGGGGACATATCCAGCAGGGGAGGGCTGCCTCCCCGCCTCGCTACCGCTGGTGACTTAACTCTGGGCTGTTTTTCATTTGTGCATCTGCACATTTTCTGTCTCACAGAGTCATTCTGGAAGATGCTTCTCTAAGGTGTGCCTTTTCCTTTCACCGCCTAGCCTAAGCCAGTCAGTGGCACGAAGGCCCTGTGAGCAGGGCCCTGCTATGACGGGGACACCGTGGCTCCAGCGTGTCCACCTGGCAAGGCTGCTGTGACACGTGGCAGAGTGACGAAGAGCGGGTCACATGATTAAGATGGGATCAAAATCCAAGCGACATTTATGTAGTAATCACAACTTAGTGCTCCTCCATCCCACAATGTAATGATCCAGGTCGGCAAACTTGATCTGCATAAGAGACTACTTGGCGTCCCTCTCGGGGCTTTTGCAAACCATCACTAGATGGAATAGGGACACACTGGTAGTCTCGCGGAGACATCACATGCTGCTTGCTGCTGAAAATCGCCACGTGTCGAGGCTTTTCTGCACATACATAGGCATGCATGCAGGTATGTAGCATGTACTGTGCATGTACGGATGCTCTGCGGTGGGCCATGTAAGATTAAAGCAGAGCAGGAAAGGGAGAGAGGCCCCTGGGTGGCAGGTACCAAGGGGCCCGGAACTAGCTCTGATGTCGGTAGCACAGCAGGGTGACTGGTTCACAGACACTTACTGTCTACTTTACTAAGAGGTAGAAGAAAGGAGACTGAAGTTTTCCAACAGAAAGCAGTGGTCAAGGCCAAGGAAAGGGAAAGGCTAATCCTCTGTCTGGTCATTATAAATGGTAGACGAGTATCAAATTGTCACACTGCACCCCACAGCATGTGCACAATTACTGTGT